ATTTACCTGAAGTTGACGAGTGATTGAATTGTGATTTTTTTCATCGACCAGAAACAGTTGTTAAGTCAGAAAATTTGAAAAAAAAAAAAAATTGGGGGGGTCTTTTTTTCACTCCCCTGCTGTACGAGTTTCGAGTGTCCACATGGCTAAAAATGGTGCGCTGACAGTACCACAGGTGATGGTGGTTTGTTCAAAATTTTTAATTGGCTTGTCAGTGCTTTCTTTTCATAAAATTCTTTGTGACATTCTCTGATCTGGATGAATAGACATAGTAGCTTAATACATCTTTCATATATCTGTACTGAAAGCAAAAATTTCTAAATCTCACCATAATTGAGAATAAATCTTCTTGTATTATACCACCATTACATTATATAGAATTCAGGTTATTAAGGAAGAACAGTTAAATGCTATTCTCATAGAAATCATCTTACTGTTTCTCCTTACTTTAACTGATTTCAATTATGTGTCCTAACTGTTGATATTCTTTAAAAATCTCAATAATTTTGAATCCTCAGGATTCTTCAAGCATTTACGTAAAGAATGTAATTTACTCATCGTAATCTGTTTGGAGCTTCCTGAAGAGGCTGGACCCTCTCTTAACATCATTTTTTCACAAAATCATTTTCTATAACTACTGCCCAATTTTGTATCACTTTCAGTGAATAGGCTACCACTTACTGATACTACTTACTACATATCCGAACACTGTGTTTTGTAAACTTAGCTGCAAACCTTGTAGTTGTGATTGTTCTGCTCTTCACAGCTCATTGAAAAACTTCTGTCCCTAAAATAATGTCAAAATCACCTGAGTATTAGAGCTAACATCTGCCAGTTTTATATTATTTAATCCCTGTATGCAAATATTTAATATTTTAAATGTGTTAAATCGGTTATTTTTAGTCCAAAGGGATTTGAGTCCCGAAGGACTATTACTTTTGTTTTGCCATTTTGCATCGGACCTCCTATAAATGTTGGTTCATTTTTCAAACTGTTGCCACAAAATGTTAGAGTCCTGCATTATATTTGAAGAAAATTAAATAATGAAAAATCTGCATAAATGTATGTATATTTCTCGCATTGTGATACAACAAAGAGTCATCCAATTTTGAATGATGTAATCCTACTGCGAATATGGGCATCTGAAACCCGAAATTTGAGATTTGGAATTTGTTTTATATCAATTTAATATTTTGTAAAACATTAACGAATTTTTGAGTAACAAACTCAACGATTTAAAAGCGAGCAATGGCAACACTCTACGGAGGGAAAAAAACCTTTTTATCTCCAGCATATTGGAAATTGGTAACCAACTGTGTATTGGAAATTCTAAAGATATGCTCATTTTAAAATTATTTTGCAACATTGCTATTGAACTAAATTTTATGGTTTAAGTGCAAAGAACATGATATTTAATAAATAAAGGTAACACACAAAATGTTAAAAAAACGTCCCTTTGAACGTAATTTAAAATCTAAAACATTTCAGTTTTTTTTTTTTTTTTTTTTTTTTCACAGTTCCTTTTTAAATTTCAATCTTTGTTTTTTATTGTAGTTTTAGTACATCCCTTAATTATCACAAATATGTCATTCAAACAAGAAATATATGATGTTAATTTTTTCTGTTAATTAAAGCCTATCAGCACACTTTTTCATAACGAAATTTGACATTGAACCAACATCCAAAAGAGCCTGTCACGGTTGAAATTGACTTAATTTATCCTTGACTAAACAAATAGCTATACTCAGCAAAATGTTTTGTAGTTTATTATTCATAGAACTCATCACAGCAATTGAGTGCTTTGCATGTTGATCCAAACTGTTAGTTTTATTTTCTTCCCTCTGGTCATCAGTTTTCAAGCATGTGTTACATCTTCCCCCATTTGGTCCTGTGTTTGAATATGCATGAAATTGTGCTTTCTGCACATGTAACTGCAGAGGAATTGGTTTTGTTCTCCCATAAAAATTCAAGTTTATATGGTGTCTTTTATTACAATCAAAACAGGAGACTTTTGACTAATAGTTTTTAACCCTGTGATTATAAGAAAGACAATTAAAACAACAATTATGCTTTTTTACTGTTTAGAACCTTTCATCCACAGACATCTTTTTCAATTGAGGATATTTTAATAATGAATGATATTCAATTCTACTCAAAATATATTTTATATTATTGATACTCGCTCCAGAAATCATCATAGTAACTTTTAGAGAGTTTCATTTTAAATTTATGGATGTTTTGGACATGCTAATAAACCTAGCATGGTTCCATAGAAATTCTAACAACTCACTTAAACTGACTAGCCAGGCTGTGGAGTCGGCCAGATTTTGGGGTAAAAGGAGTTAGAGCTGGAGTCGCTAAAAACAGGTTGACTCCGACTCCAGTTTTTGTTGGACAGTTTGAATTTGAAATGAAATTAAAATGAACTGAAAAAAATTAATGACAAGCTGAGTTATTATTTTTATTTATGGACTATATACATTAATAAAAAGTTATTTTCTATTTTATTGACATAATTATAAATAAATATAAGGAAGGAGGATGGATGTCATATTTGCCATTAGTGATTAAACTGATTCATTTAGTTACTTATCTCACTGATAAATTTAGGTAAGCAGCAATAGCAGCAAGAACTTCCAAAATTGATGCCATATTTAGGAAGCGAGCAGGAAAAGGAGCAATTATTGATCAAGCAACACAATAAGGAACTACATATTTGATGATAAAGAGGTTGTTAGAATTAAGAACTTTTTTAGAAGATGTAAATAACCCTAATGTTTCACAAGCAGAAAGACTGTGGAATAATCTTGCAGAATTGGAAACTTCTTTCTACATCGTATATGGCCACAAAAAAGCTGCAAGCTGAAGAACTGACAGAATGGAAGAATGTGATGTTAGTTCTTTCTGAAATGGAGGGTTTATTGCAGAAGAAATCATTTCTTCAATGAAGAAAAGAGAAACTTTGCTAGACAATGAGATCTTGCTGGGTTCAACATATGTAGATCCGAACCATCAAATTTTCTTGGATGACGAACAAATTAAAAAGGCTAAGAGAAAGCCATGTATGAACTTTCATTAAGAATGAAATTATTTTCAGAACAATTGGAGAATTCGAATCAGAACAGTCAAACTGCAGACATTGCAATTTAGTCTCTATCATCCACTTCCAATGATGAATTAGATTTTCAGAAATATTTTTGGATAATACTGAAAAGGCTAGGGCAAAATGAATGAAAATAAAGAACCAAGAGCCTTTAGATATAAAAATGAAAAAATAAAAACAAGATTTCTACACAGCCTTTGAAGAAATAGAGAAATATAATTGTGCTTGCAAGACACCTCTTTTAGAACATATAAAAATCTATCCTGAAAAGTTAAAAGAAGTAGCCTTAACAGTAACAGCTCTTCTTCCTGCTCAAGTTAGTGTGGAAAGACTCTTCTTAATTCTGAAGTTTCAAATCGGATCTATGGCGGTCCATTTATGAAAGAAGATCTTCCCAAAGCTATACTGTTTCTTAGAAATAACTAATGCCAGTTTTTCCATTTCATAATAAATGCTAATGAATATAAATAATTTGCTATGCCATCAATTTTTCTGTAGCATCTATTATTTCTTTTATATTAAAACAGTAAGCTGTAACCCATGTGTATATGCTGACATATATATATATATATATATGAGGGAGTCAGAGTTGGTCATTTTCCCTACCTACTCCGCAGCCCTGCTGACTAGACAAACTCTCTTTTTTAATGTGTCTTTCTCCCCAATGTTTCATGTTAGCATCTAATTTTTGATTCAGCATATATGTAAAAATGCTAGATGCGAATCCATCTACTTTTTGTTCAAATATTTCTAATGCTCAAACACATTCACTCATGCTATCTGTTAAATGTAATATTGCAGATGATCGCTCATTTTGCTTATTCACTTTCGATGCATTAAGATATCTCTTTAAATGCACATATATTTATTCCCTTTTATTTGTAATGTTCCTCTAATAATGATCAAGCAAGATCATAATTTGCGTCTGTAATATCAGTAGACTGCATGATTTGAAAAGCCGGTTATGCCACTCAGAGGGTTAATGTAGCCTTCTGGATATGAGGAGCTGTTAAGAACATCAGCTAAAATTGGTGCAAAAACTTTTCCCAAAAGCATAATTTATCGAAGCTAATTTAACAGAAATTAGTGATGATGGTAAAGAAAATCAAATTAGCAGAGTGGTCTCTTCTTTAATTAAAACTTTAAAAATAGGAATTAATTTTAAAGAGTTAATAAAAATTTATTTATATGCATAAATAAATTTTTATAATAAAGCTTGGAAATCTTGAATTTTCCTAAGGTAAAATGATGCTGTTAAGAAAATCAAACAAATAGGGTACAAAAGGTGAGGCCAATATTTAAACAAAATAATTAATCAGTAGTGAAGAATACTATGCTGATATTATAAAGAAGTCTTAATATAATTTTTCAATAAAAAATATATGTTAATAATTTTAATATCAGCATAAATTATTTAAGTCTTACAGAGTCCAAATAAAGAGGCATTTTTAAAAGTAAATTTTAGTTTAATTTTTTTTTTTTAATCTGATGTTTATTTACTTGTATGTACAGTTTTGCTGTAAAATTTTTGATAAAAAGTTTTGTTTTCAGAAATAAATTGAAGCAAATGAAATAAAATATTCTTTGCAGTTGACTAAAGTTGTCAAAACTCATTTGACGGATTTTAAATAATGATTAATAACAAAATAATTTCTGTTAAGGAATAAGGATAAAAATAAAGTTTGAAATTCTGTTATTTAATAAGAAAAGCTTTAATCCAAGTTTAAAAGATTTAATCCCTAAAATATAAATACAATCATTTTAATAATTGTTTTTTATCTTTATTATTTATTCTTGTAGTATGATTTCTTAATATAAACTGTAATTAAAAATATTATTAACCATAAAAAATAATTAAAAATTCATTTTATAATTTATTTTTCACTCTTTTCATCAGGTATGACAGAAGTTTCTGAAGGAGTAGTAAAAGAACACACACTTAGACTTGAAAGTAAATCTGTCTGCCGTACATCATTTACCAAATTAGCATCTGTTGTCAAGGTATGTTTAGTGGACTGCAGTTTAATAATAAATCTAACTGTTTAATATATTATTGTTAAAACTTTCATACATTATCATAATAAATATTTTAATTTATTGCAAGCTCTGATAAAAATATTCAGTAATATTAATCATCGAAATAAATGAGGAATTTGAATACATTCTAAGCTTAAATATGATGTATACTGTGGGAACACAATTGCATTAGCTTTTCAAGTGCTAAATAAGAAAAGTATATGCAGCTAGTGTTGTTATTTAACTTTGGGGGAGCTGATAAATGTTGTCAGTCAGTGATATCATTTAATATTCAAAATATCAGACATTGTTTAGTGACTGAATTCTGACAGAAGAAAGCATAACGATGGCAAGTAATCATGACACATAGTTGCAATCTGTAGTGAAACTCAAATTGCTTGCTGGCCAAATATGCTATCTAAAAGCAGCTGGTAGGCCTTTAAAAAAAATTACCAAAATGAAACTTTTTTTAACAAAACAATTGTTTGACTAAATTTTAAGTTATATTTATTAAATATTTGTCAAAACAAAAATAATACTGACTCAAGGGGAGAACTTCAATTTACATTAATTTTCTGTCTAAAATCTAAAGGTTGGGATCTACTAGAAGTTTCAGTTGATTTAACTTTGTAATTAAAACATATTGATATTTGAATATTAAATTTTCGTTATTTTCTAAATTTTTCTCTGAGGCATACAGAAAAAGGTTCTGAGGAGGTTTCGATTTCAATAACATTTGTAGCCTTAGGAAAAAAATATTAGAAACTGTCATGAATTACAGATGCTCATTGACCGATCTGCTTCCTTCTGTCTCTCTCTCTCTCTCTTTTTTTTTTTTTTTTTTTTTTTTTTTTTTTTTTTTTTTTTTTTTTTAAGATATATATGTATTTGCAGGAAAAGCGTATATTCATTCTGTTAAAATTCATAACCAAAATTACCTATTTTGTGAAAATATGAACAAAATTTAATAAAATTGCTATCATGAATCTTTGAAAACATTTTCACAGTGCAAATTGATCAGCTGCATTTGTAGATTTTTCTGTGTCACTACTAACAATCAATTTTAATGATAATGGAAATAATGTAAAACTGGACTAAAAAGCATTAAAATCTTAAATTTTTCTTCGGATTTTTGCCATAATAGTACCAATTAACATATGGGAAATGTATTCATGCATCACATAACATTGTCTAATAGGCCACATGCAGCACTCAGCTACTAGTTTGAGACCACTGACATAAAGAATAAGTGAAAAGCTAATGCATGTTTCAAAATGTCTTTCTGATCTTGCTGAATTTTCAACTGTTAGCATATTAAAAAGCCAGTTCTCAGAAACTAAACCTCACTTCCTTTTTCTCTCTTTTCCAGAAAAAAAAACATAAGCTAAACTTTTACAATTGTTTCTAAATGCCAAATGAATTACAATTTTACAATTATGTTTCTAAGAGATTCTTTTACAATTATGTTTCTAAGAGGCCAAAATGGTAGGCAACAGTATGAAATGATGTAGTGAAAGAAATTAACTTTTAATCAATTTTAAAAAACTTTACTTCTTGTTTAGCTCTTGAAATTGTTTGAAATATGTGTGTCTTGTATGAAACTATACGCGTATTTGAAATTGTATCAGATTATTATTTAATTATGTAGGAATTTTAATTCTACGGAAGTTTTCAAAATATTTTAAACAAGGTTGCAATCACTCCTGGTGGTGTTTTTTTATCTGTGTTGTATTTCAGCCAATAATACCTAATGTAGTGACATCAATAAATCTTTATTAGAATGTATACTGATATGAACAACTTGTTCTTTTAATATATTAATTTTGAGAATGTTTCGTATAAACAGACAAAAAGTGCTGCATAAAACATTTGAATCTAATCTGATCGCAACAGATATCTCAATACAGTCAGCTATATGGACAAGAATGTCCATATGGCCGCCTGCAGTGAGATATTTTTATATCTCAATCACCAATATGTGGCAGATACTTGAATCTTTCCCAGACTGACAAAATCAAATGCATGCTTTAAATAAAGATGTAAATTTATTAGCTTTTTAGGGTTGTTTATTATACTGACTCTGAAGGCCTTGACTTTTGGGGCATAAAATAAATTAACTTGGTTTCTAGTCAAGATTTCTCCAGTGCAATAGATGACTCAGGGGTTCCAACATCCTCACTTCACAGAAAGATTTAGAAGGTTCAGCCCTCAGTTGAATGAAGCAGAGGTGAATAATGAGAGAGTTGAGTTGTTGAACTTACTCTTCTGTTTAATAAAGTGTTGAATTAATAGAGTATGATACAGCATTTGCATATATACAATAGGAATAAATATGTGATTTGTTAAAAATGAGATAAAATATTCCAAACCACATTTAAACAAAAATAACAGTCCATCCACATGTATGGAAAATTGAAAGGAAGGTCTCTGTAACAACATAATTTGGTGGTGATTTTCAAGCACATCTCTAATTTTGTTTTTATGTCAGGATTTGGCAATGGTTTTCTTTCCGTACTTTTGAACATCTGAATCCAGCAACCCTGTGGAAACCCATAAAAAAAAAAAAAAAAAAAAGGTGAATGTATTTGAATCACCTATTTCAGCTCTAGCTGATGAACCTGATGGGTCGTCTGCAAAGCTGCATTGCTTTTATGTCTAAAAGAGGTTCTAACATCCCAGCCTAGAGAATTATATTAAAATATCATTTTTAATTACATGTGCCTGTTATCTTTTGCTGTTACTTTTGATTCAGTCAAAAAGTTTTCAAGAATTTTCTTATTCCTAAAATATTTCAGAATAATTTTATCTTTGTTCACACAAATTTGAGCTTTATATCAATACAATTTGATTTACAGTTTTCAAAATTACTTTTATGAAAGTAAACACTAAACATGTTATCACAGTAATGAATAGATCTAACTTTACTAAAAATTTTGTGTTCATTTCATATATTTGGAATCATAGCAATTATTTTACACTGTTTGTTAACCATTTAAATTCTGACTTCATGCAATGCACTTTTACTTGCAGGAAAAGTATATTTGCTAAAGTATAGTATACTAATTATAGTTTGATTGGGGGTACAAGTATAGTACCCCCAATTAAATCTCTATTAGTTATCCCCTGGTTTGTGCTTGAATAGTTCTTTAAGGCTAATTCTTTATTTTCAAAGGCTTACTTATATACTATTTTGTATTAAATATCTATCTCAAGATACCAGATACAATTACTATTGTTAAGAGACATAATAAAAAACAGAAACATTATGTTTACAGAAAAATTAATATCGCATCAGGCTTGATTTAGTGATGAGGTAAATTAGGACGAGGTTATGTATTAAAGTAAGATATGAAAATTTACTCATCAGTTCATTTTATATGGTTTCACTTGGACTATCAAGATAATTCAATTTTAATTCAGTTTAAATTGTATCTGCAAACTTCTAGGAACACTGTTAATTTTTTTAAGTCTGCCTATGTAGATAGCTGTTAAAAAATGTAATAAAAGCTATATTCACACTTTATAAGTACTTAATTTTTCTGCACCAAAAGTTGTCATTTAACAATTTTATTTAATATAGCTTCAGTCTTAGCAAGTAGTACTAAATTCTTGACATAAATTAAGAAGAAAAATTTACTTAGAAATGAATAAACACCACTTCACCAATTTAATTTTATAAATCTAGAAAAAAAGGACATCATTGCTTTAGCATACTGTGCATGAAGCGGCTTCTAAACAAATTTCATATGTAAATTTGTATAATGTATGTTTTCATGATAAATGTAATATTTTTCTCCTCTTTTTCTGAAACATTTGTAAATCACCTTTTTACATAATTTTATTTGTGATTAATTTATTTAATTAAATTTTCCTGTTTGTGCCAGAAATTAATTTATGACTTGATATGTATGAAATGTTTCACATACACACACACACACATGCATTTGCTATGAATATTGTTTTATTTAATATTGAATTTGTTTTATAAATCTTTTTTTATCTACCAACTTTAACTAATCATCACAAAAATTTTGCTCTTTATACCATTGGACAGAGTGAGAAATTATCCCTCAACTGAATGTTTTTTGGAATTTCTGATATAATTTGCTAACTTTTAGTGGTTTCTCAAAAATTATTGTACGTATTTAGTTATGCAGTTGCTGACAGTGACAGATTCTGATAACAAAATATCCTTTACTGATAAAAGCCCCTATAATTTTAAATGATGATAATATTGGAATTTTTCCAGTTTTCAGAGATGGTGATTGTTTACATTCTAAACTAAGAAATAAAAAAAACTGTACATGAGAAAACTTTTTAAATTACAACTTTTTTTTTAAAATATGCTAAGTAAGTAAAAATTTACTCTTAAGCTTGATAACTAGTACTGTTAGGTAATATTGTTAGTCAATTTGCAACTAAAAGTAAAGTTGTATTGTTCCTCTACATGAATTGTATTAATGCATTAACAGGACTTAATGCATTGTATTAATGCATAACAGGAAAAACAATAGAATTGATAATATAATAAAATGCATCATAAAAATAATTGCATTGAATTTGCTTAAATTTCTGGCTATTATTTGTAATTCCATGATTATATTTTAGTCATATGTGACCAAAAATATTAAGAGCGCTGATCTCTCTTAATATTTAATAGTATCAACCTCTCAGTATTTCTAAACACTTTATCTTTTAGCACATTTAATTAAAATCAGGTAATTTAAAAGAATTTATATATATATATTTTAACACATGTAAAATACATTCTAACTGTAATGGCTTACCAATGGTCGAAGACCGGCAGTTCTGTTCGAGGTTCGAATTCCCCGAACAGGTCGGCTGCATGGGCGTTTCCGTGTTTTTTCCCCACATGTAACATGTATACAAGCCAGTTTCCCTTAAAAAGTCATCCTTTCCCATAGGCTGATAGACCTAGAGCACTTTGCCATAATCAAATAAACCAAACAAACCTAACTGTAATGATATTTTATTATGTTTTATTTTAGTGGTCTTTAGATGTTATTCCTTTATTAAAATAATTTAGATTTATGTTAAGTACATCCTTCTTCAGAATAATTTATATATACTTTTTACTGATGTATACTTTTTGTTCAGCTTGTTAGGACATTATCACTGGTAAATGAAGAATTGCACTCACTTATGTTGATGGAAACTGTCAACCAGCCTCTTCAGAAACATTTAGAATGCAGATATAAAAGAAAATCATCAAGCAACTAAAATTATATGTTTGGATAATTGCAAAGTAATTTGCATAGATATATTTCATTTACTTCAATTAAAAAACTAGAAATATGATCTATGTTTAGAACATATAATGAACTAGTAAATATTTTTGTAAGTTTCTTTTTACATACTATCTTTTTTGCATGACCTATATAAATCAATAACTTATATTGTTGGTTATATTTGCTGATGCTCAGGTAATATCTTTTAAATAGTTTATTATTATTAACTTTTTATTTCAAAAACATTTTATAACCAATCTGACATGTTTTTTTGTTAAGTAAAGTTTCTAAATATCGAGCATAGTATAACTTTGATTATCTAAAAACTAATAAGAGCAGAAAAATAATGAGAGTATTTGAAAATTTGGGTTAGCAAGACATTTTCCAATGGAAAACATCTATGATGTGCATATAAATGTATTTAACAAAATATGCACAATTGTTTTATCTTGATGTAAAAAAAAAAAAAAAAAAAAAACCCTGAAACATAATAAAAAATTTTAAATCTAAAATTTAGGCATATATTTATGTTAGAAAATTGTTGCACATAGTGGCATGAAGCTGTATGATTCTGATGCAGAATTAAAATAATATAGGTTAATAAGTGTTAATGAAAAATTATATATATATACATTTTCGTTTGGTAGCATAGCATTTCTTTTAAAAACAAGAAATTTGCTTAAAATATTAATGACAGCAGTGTAACAAAATTTTACTCTTCTTAAATTATATTTATGTTTAAAAAGTTAATAACAGAAAATGTAGAATGTGAAAAGGCAGATTTTTTGTACAATTTCAAAATACACTGGTCATCAAAATTAAAGGATAATCACAGAAGTAAAATTATTAATAGAAATTTGTACAAAAGCATTATTTAACATAAATTACAATATTTGGTAGTTAATTATTTGCAAAAAAATTAAAAGTAAAACCAAATTTGTGGAAACTAGAGAATGATGGAAAAATTAAGTCACCTCTTTCGGAAAAAATTGGTTCTTTAATATGGTGTATGGTCATCTTAGACAAATATGCATACCTCACATCTTGATTTCATATACCTTACCAAAGTGTTGATCAAGTCTTGTGGAATTGCACCACTCTTCGAACAGTGCACTTTTCTGCTCCTGGAGGGTCTGGGGAAGGAATTTTGCACAGTAAAATTCACTAAACGCAGTTGGGTGAGTGCAGGTGTTTTTTTTTTTTTTTTTTTTTTTTCTTTTTTTTCCCCTCCCAATAGCAGGTACTTGCCTATAACGGCATTCGCCACTACTAAGGCCAGAAGTGGTGGCCATTTTATTGTGGAGGCACCTAATAGCCAGCCACCGTTACCTCCTATTGAAGGGACAGACAATTTTACATCCATGCCTTCTCCAGGATTCGAATCTGGGCCCTTTGGTATTACAGTCAGTCTCCCCTAACCATTATACCATCTGGGCAGCACATGAGTAAAGTGACCAACCCATTTGAGTGATATTTTCTTGTTTGCAAATATTGTGACAAAACGTATGCTTGGTCTCACCGAGCATTGTCATCCATTAGCAAAAATTCTGGGCCGACAGCACCCCTAAACAGTCCAACTTCAGGTTCCAATACCTCATCCACATATCTACAAGAGTTACAGAACCTCTTTGAAAGATATGCAGCTTGTTGCAACCACCCCAAACTGAAGTCTTGGAAAAGGAATATTTGACAGTCAGAGGAAGTAACACCTTCTGCGTCACTCCAGATCAAAACACATTTAGATTCTCTGTTGAGACTGTATCTAGACTCATCAGTAAACAATACTCAGGTCCACTTGTCTTGGCTGCATTGAACATGATGATTGCAGCAATTTAAATGGGCCACTCTAGAAGTTGAAGTGAGTGGCACACAATCCATTGGTTTTTCTTGCATGCAGTCCAACCCCATTAAGCTTTTGTGCAGCACTAGAACAGCTAATCTGAGTTCCTGTGGCAGCCTGAAGGTCTAAAACCAAATCGGTTGTAGTCTTTTCATGGTTTCTTTGAGTTGAAAATGGTTTTCTTTGAGCTGTAACTTCTGTTCTTAGTTGCCCTTCATCAGGCTGTCTATCAACTGATCCAGTGCTTTAATAGGGGCTCCAAACTCTTGATTTGACACTTTGAGGGATATTCAAATCTCGGATGACCTTCATTTTTATTTGACCTGCCTCGAATCTACCAAGTATTTGACATTTTTTATCTCTATATAAATAAAGTCATTGAGCCATAATTACAGAATACTGATTACTCTCAGAAACCACATTCCCTCGAAACAGCACCAGAATTCCAACATGCGTCCATTGCGCACCACATTGCCAAGCACAGAATTTGCATATATCCAGCACTAACATATGTGCAAAAGGGCAATTTTGTGTTCAATTGTATTTAATTAACATATATAATTACAGCATTGGCCATTGGTTGCAACATTAACTTAGTGAGCATATTTTTTTCTCATTATCCTTTAATTTTGATGACCATTGTAAATTATAGTTTTCTGTAAAGTACAGTAGTATCTTTTAAATGCTCGCAGCAGATTGTAAAGTGATTGGAGATTGTAAAATGACTCAGAAAACTGCAGGAATGAAAATTACTTCATATTTAAAACTTTTACAAAGTAGGTTTGGACCATAATAGTCATGGTTTGAGGATAATATTAAATTTTAGACTCTCAAAATATAAATGCAAAGAAAATCATTTGAGTGCCATTAATAAAATTTCAACTTGTCAAATATTTAAGTTAATTAGATTAAAGAAATCTAATTGATAAGAAATGGTAATACTAATTTTTTTTTATTTATTTCAAGTTAATTCAAATTCTGTTATGTGCTGTTATTTGCAGAACTTATCGTTACTGTATATAAAGATTATATTTGATGAATTTTCAGTTATCCTTTATTATCTAATATTAATTGTATAACATATTTTATGAGATTTATTATATTTCTTAAGAACATATTTTTTTTTTTTACAAGACAATTTTGTAAGATTAGATTATTAAATAATAAGAGGGTACTTTTCCGTTTTGCCGGCGCAAGCGATAAAGTTGCCAGTAATGGTAAAATCGATGCCAAATGAAATATCCTCGCTGGTAACCTTTTATTTTAACTTTTATATTTTCAAAACGAGTTGCAGCCATTTCTTATCAGATTAATTATTTTTTTCAATACTTGCATACAATTACATAGAATTTTTACCAGATAGTTTAATTTTATACCCTAAGGCCATTCGCGGATGGTAATTAAGTCAATTAGGATGCAATCACACTGCTCACTTGATAGTGAAAGTATAGAAAAAGAAAAGTCAAGACTTAAATTCATCCATTCTAATGAAAAGGCACTAGCAAAGTAAAGCTTTGCAGTTTTACAAAATTTCTAAGTAAGCCTTTTCATACGAATTGAAATAATTCTTGCATTTAAACTTGTATTCCAAATTAAGATTTAACTTGAAATTAATGTAGATAATTACTGAGAGAATTAGATTTTTGTAGCATAGCTTACGTGAGATGAGATCACTTGGCGAGATCGTGATATGAACTGGCGAATCAGGATGTTGTATGATGAAAGCATAGTAAATTCTTAAATTAATGTCTTTTTACAAATTAATTTTAAATGACAATAAAATGCTTATAATGTTTATACCTTCAAAATAAAAAATTCTTAAAACTAACATTTGTCAACATTTTTTATGTGTATACTTTTTTTCACCAATAAAGTCTGCTTGGCGAGATTTGCGCCGGCAAAATGGAAAAGTACCAATAAGAGTATTTTAACTGCATGTTATTTTCATATATATATTGTTATAAAAATGATATATACAAATCATGCTTTAATAAATGTTTTCAAATATATCAATTGCCTTCTTTATTTGAAGTCAGAAAATTTTGCTGCTCACACCAGTTATATGAATTCCCTTAGCCTTGCTGATTTGCACCATCTGTGATCAACTGCAAATCAACACGCTGATTGAAGTACATAACACTAGTAGTTTTTCCTTCATTTTGTTTTTAACAGCTGAATGAGATCAGCTGGCTCTTTGGATTTCCGTGGTTTCCCATGTTACCAGTTTCCTTGCAAAATCCTTCTTCATATCTTTATTTATCTTGAACTCGTTTAGTTATGGTCTTTGAACAGTTTGTAATAATTAATTTATCTGATCTGTTTTAAATTTATTTGAAAAAGAGAGGAAGAAAACTTTCCTGAAAAATATGAAATTAAATTTTTTGAATCTTCCCATGGATAATTAGAAAAGCATAAGATTTTGTTTTTTCCATTGTAGGACAACATATGCAAAATAACTTTTGACAAAAAAATATATACAGCAAATTGATACTTTTGATGAGACAGGCAGTTCATTGTTAATTATATGATACATGAATATGCTGAAATAAAAATAATAAAAAAATATTTTTGAACACCTGTTATTCATCTTTCAATCAAATAAGTTGTCTTATAAAATTTTTCTTGTTTTTATAGCCTCTATTGTCAGTACAAAGACTGTTAAATTTGTCTTTGTGTTTTAATTCTTTATTTAAGTTAGTTGTAATATTTAAAAAAGACTTATCTTGTTTTTCTATAATAGAAAAAAATTTAATAATATACCAGTTGTAAGATTCTAACCTGTGTACTTTTATGTTAAAGTTGAAGAATCTTAAGAACTGGTAAGCAAATAATCACTTGAGTTCGTGAGACAGAAAATAAAACTTGAGAAGTGTTAAATACCCTTTATTACTCCAAATTAAATTCACAGAACTCCTTCTTGGAGTTTTACAATAAAGCCTCCAACTAATCTTAACTGAAAAGATATAGCCATAGCTATCAAGATTCTAACAGAGTTGGCCCCTTAACGGTAAATAACAGCGAAGCTGTCAAGGGCCTAAAGTACAGCCGAACGTAATAATAGTTTAAGAGAGAGTAGCCTAAAAAGGCAAATGTGCACTAGTCAGTATCACTGGTTCTCTCTAACGAAGTCAGTAAAACTTCACAGTTAAATACTTCTCCTCATTTGCATTCAACCGCGATTCTAAAACTACGTTCTGGCCAGAAGTTGTAAACTTGAAATTAAGAAGAGATAGGACAATAACTCAAAATTAATTGTTGGATAAATTAACATAATCCTTACACAGTTTAGCTTACCAATTATGAAACTTATTTGCTCAGAAGATGAAATATGGCATTTCAGAATGTGTTTTTAAAATCATCAAAAACTTTATAATATGCTTTTGCTGCAAATTTATTCAGTTTTTGTACTGCAGATTTGATACATAGTTATTACAATGAAAACATCATAATTATATTTTCAATGGTTGATAAATACTAGTATTTGGTTTGGTAATAACTTTCATGCAATCTTCATCTTTTTTCAAAAATTAAATTTGTTATCATCTGTTTAAAATTGATAGAGAGGCAACAATGCAGATTTAATATAATATTTAGTAATTGTATTTAAAATAATATTAAAGACAATTTAGATTTCTGAGTATTTTTG